TAGAAATGTTTGCTTCCAGTCTGTGGCTTGCCTCTTCATTATCTTAATGGTGTCTTTTTCGTTAATAATAAAATATACATAATATAAAATTTACCTTTTGTTGTACAACCATTACCACCATCCATCTCCAGAATTTTTTCATTTTCTCCAACTGAAACTCTGTACCCCATTTAACATTAATTTCCCATTCTTCCCTCACCCAATGGTATCTCTTTTGAGAAAAAAAGATTTTTTATTTTGCTAAAGACCAATTTACCATTTAAAAAAATTTTTCTTTTCATGTCCTCTTTAAAAAAATCTTTGCTTATCCCAAGGTTGCAGCAATGTTTTCCTATGTTTTTTACTGAAAGCTATTAATTTCAGCTTTTACAATTATGTATATGATCCAAATTGAATTAGTTTTTATATAAAGTGTGAGATATGGCTCAAAGTTCATTTTTTTACCCACACAGATATCCAGTTATTCCAGCACCATTTGTTAAAATTGGACTACAGAAGTGTAGGTCTATTTCTGAACACTATTCTGTTCCATTGATCTTTACGCTAATACCCCTCACTATCTTTATAACTATAGCTTTACAGTAAATCTTGAAAGCAGGTAATATATTCCAGCTTTGTTCTTTGTCAAGATTGTCAAGATCCTTTGAATTTCCATATACATTTAAAATCAGCTTATCAATTTCCATTAAAAAGTCAGTAGACTTTTGAGTGGGACTGCAATTTGGGGAGAATGAACATCTTAATAATATCAAGTGTTCCAATCCACGAACATAGTTTATCTCTCCACTTATTTACATCTTTTTTAACTTCTCATTAAATTCAATTGTTCTACAATATTTTTGGTTGATTCCTTATGATTTTTTATGTAAAAGATCTTGTCAACTGCAGATAAAGATAGTTTTGCTTCTTCCTTTCTAATATTTATGCCTCTTATTTAATTTTCTTGCCTTACTGCACTGAGTAGGGACTCCAGTACAATGTCTACTAGAAGTGGTAAGAGCAAACTTGTCTTGTTCTTGACCTTAGGAGAAAGCATTAATATTTCACTATTAAGTACAATATTAGCTGTAAATTTTAGGCTGGGAAAATTCTCTTTTGTTCCTAGTTTGATGACAATTTTTACTAAAAATGTGTGCTAAAATTCATCAAATGCTTTTTCTACATGAAATGAACATACAGGTTTTTACCTTTATTCTGTTAATATATGAATTAGACTGATTTTCAAATGTTAAACTAACTTTGCATTCCTAATATAAATTTAAGTCAGATCTGTACACACAAAACATAATACAAATGCCAGTAAACTTGATAAAAACAGAAGAACAGAAGAGTCACTAACACTTTACCATGGGACTTCACCTGAGGCTTCACATTAAGTTCTCTAGGTACTTACACATCCATATGATGACCAGCACTCTGCAGTCCATCACCCATTTCTTTTTCTATGGCACTCCATTCACTAGGAAGAAAAAGACAAAACTAAAAGCATTATGAATTAGAGCTATGAAATATTATTATTATTTTTAGAAATAGGGTCTCACTCTGTCACACAGGCTGGAGTGCAGTGGCACGTTCATAGCTCATTGCAGCCTTTAACTCCCAGGCTCAAGCGAAGCAACCCTCCTTGCCTTAGCAACCACCCTAGCTGGGTTTGTTTGTTTGTTTTTTCCGTAGAGGCAGGGTCTTGCTATGTTGCCCAGGCTGGTCTCGAACTCCTGGCCTCAATGATCCTCCTGCCTCAGCTTCCCAGGTGTGAGCCACAGTGTCTGGCTTGGAATATTATTAAAGGGACTCTTCTCAGGATTCTTTTCTAGCTAGCTTTTAAATAATGTATTCACATTTGGATTTATTTTCTGTGATTCAAATTTGCTGTTTTCCCCTTAAGTTCAAAAACTAAATGTAAGTAAAGCTGATACCTGTTGTTGCTAAGTGTAAGGTAAGTATCATACAAAACAGATTCTGTTTACAGATAGCATTCTCAGTTAGGATGCCTATTTAAATCAAGTGAAGAGCTTTTTAAAAAAATATGGAAGCTAGCCCTACTCTTGATCTACTTAGAATCTGTGGGGATAGAGCTAAGGCATGTATATTTTTAAATACTCTATAGATGATTCTGATGAACACAGCTGATTACATGCTGTTGTTCTAACAGCTAACAGAAAAAAACAATTGTAGAAAAACAGTACAGGTGCCATTAAAACTTTAATAATTGCATGTTGCATGAGAAAGCCTACTAGAAATACAGATCATTTTGTTGTCATTTCTGTGAAATGTTTCCCATAAAAAATTTTTGGTGGAAATTACATATGCTTATTATAGTGAATTGAGAAAATAAATCCATAATTCCAAATACCAAGACATGACATAATTTGGTGTATCTCCTTCTAGTCTTTTATTTGCTCAATTGCAGCTGAGATCATATGATATATGCCATTTTGTATCATGATTTTTTTTAAACAGTATTTTCCCATATTATTAAAATAATTTGTTCTAAATATCATTTTATATGGCAACTCATAATCTTTTTAACCATTTTCCTGGCCATACAGGTCATTGCCAATTTTTCTATCTTCAACTGGAATATATCATAAGAGAAAAAAATTTAAAACAGTAGTAATATTCTCTTAATGTGTGATTTTTTTTTGTTTTTTTTTTGTTTTGGATATAGTGTCTCTCTGTCGCCCCAGGTAGAGTGCCGTGGCATCAGCCTACCTGACAGCAACCTCAAACTTCTGGGTTCAAGCGATCCTTCCTGCTTCAGCCTCCCCAGTAGCTGGGACTACAGGTACATGCCACCACACCAGGCTAATTTTTCTATATTTAGTAGAGATGGGGTCTTGCTCTTGCTCAGGCTGGTCTCGAACTCCCAAGCTCAAGCAATCCTCCTGCGTTCGGCCTTAATATGTGATTTTTATAAACTGTTCTTGAAATAGATCATATGCTTATAGTACTAGAAGAAAAAAAAACCTCACGTGGTTTCTAATGTCAAGTAAGCAAAACAAACATATAAATCACCTATATACCTGTATAGTTATGATTAAAATACAAAATAGGTAAGGCTCCTTCCAATAATTTTCTTTCATTATATGTTTACTCTCAAAGTAGTAGCAACAGTTAACCTTTTTTTAGTGCTTTGCTGTTTACAAAATGGCTTTTTAGCATCTCTAGCTCTAAATCCACATTTCTGTACCTACAAGACAATTCTGCTTTTATGCACCTCTCTCATTTCAAATTCAGCACATCTAAAGCCCAGTTCTTCACATGGGAAATAAAATCCAGGTGTTGTGGCAGATTACAACATAACTAGCCAAATGTGTGATGTAGTGAACACAGTTAATATAACTGTAGATCATGTTAATATAATTAATAGATAATACGACCCACAGGTACTTCATTCATCTAATTTTTGAGCATTTTATTATGTGCTACCATCTCAAGGTCAACATAAGACAACTCATATTCTTACTAGCTTCTTAAATTCCTGATCCAAATTTCCAATTGCTTAATAGAAATCTTTAATTCAAATGCAATCTATCCACAACAGAACCCTTTAACTCATCCCTCAAACCTGCTATTTCACCTACAATCTCTATCACAATCCTCCTAGTAACTCAGCTACCCTCAAATTAAATCTTGGTATTCTTAGGCTGGGCGCAGTGGCTCACGCCTATAATCCTAGCACTTTGGGAGGCTGAGGCAGGAGGATCACTTGAGGCCAGGAGTTTGAGACCAGCCTGAGCAACATAGCAAGACCTTGACTCTATAAAAAATAGAAAAATTAACCAGGTGTGGTAGCATGTGCCTATAGTCCTAGCTACTTGGGAGCCAGGATGATTGCCTGAGCCCAGGAATTTGAGGTTGCAATGAGGTATGATGATGTTATTGCACTCTATCCCAGGCAATAGAGACCCTGACTTAAAAAAAAAAAAAAAAAATTCTTGGTATTCTTAGCACCTACATAGTAGCAGGAGCTCAGAAACTGTGTGCTGAATGACTGAAAGAATCCATTGGTAAGTCTTACCATTTATGCCTCATTAATAGTCTTCACTGGCAATTGCTCTGGTTCAGATCTTGATTAAATGACCTCAACCATCTCTGGTCTCCCTGATTCACTTTTTGTGAAATGTTTTAGATGTAAAGCAGTTTTCTATTAATTTATTGAGTTGGCAAAAAGACAAATCTGTACAATATTTATCATGTGACATTAACACAAATAAGTTTCTTTAAAATTTGATTCAACCAATTGACTTTTTGTCTATGTGCCTCTTAAATGAATAGAATTTCATTTGCCGATTATAATTAATGTGCTACATTTGACAGTGTTTGATTTACACTAATTTCCCCCCATGTCTCCTATGGGATAATGATTTATGTTAATTTTTAAATGAGCAATGCTCCCAAGCTTAATTGGGGCTCCAGTTTGGGTAATATTCTAAAAATCAGGACTGACTCATATGCATAAATCCAAAAGCAATTAACTGTAAGTCAAACAGCATGTGGTAGACTTCAAAGAGTTGAATATTATTTGTCTTTCTTCCCATTATACTATTCCTTTATGTTTGGCCATATATTTTCATATATTCCTCATCCTAGCAATGACTTTACATTTCTACAATATCGATAAGCTTCTCTTCATTAAAAAATGTCATATAATCCTGATCTGTCCCAACCTGCATTTAATTTTAATGTATTGATCAACCAAAGACATATGCATAACCTATTACTCTACAAATGAATTTAATAAATTTGGGTCCATACTTGACATTTTACATTCAAATGAATTCCAGATGAATCAATAATGTATGAAGGGGATATATAAAACCACAACCATGTATAAGAAATGAGAAAATTTTTTTATAATCCAAGGTGGGGAAGGCCTTACTAAGATACATACAAAAATCACAGACTATTATTACTAAAAGGAAAAAAATTAATCATTTATATGTAATTGAATTTAATAAACAGAATATTCTATATGTCAAAGCCACCATAAGAAAAGTCAAAAGACACATGCAAACCAAAAAAAAGTTTGCAATTCATTTCACAAAGACCTAATCTTACTAAAAGATAAAGAATTCCTGCAAATCAGTAAGAAACAAGCAATCAGCCCTACAGATAAAAAGGCAAAAAGATACATACAGAGAACTCATGAGATAGGGGAAAAAATGGTTATTAATCATAAGAAAATGTCTGACTTTATTCATAATTAGAGAAATATAAATTACAACTACAGGTGCTCCCTGACTTATGATGGGATCGCATTCCCAATAAACCCATCCTAAGTGGAACCATCATAAATCTGGGACCATCTGTACAATGAGAAACCACTCTTCATCATATGACCGGTAAAGGTAAGTTTGCTAACACAGTGTTTGGGCAAGGGTGTGAGGAAACAGGTACTAACACTTTGCTGGTGGGAATTTAACATCTTCAGCACAGGGTAATATAGCTTCTATCTATCGAAACTATAACTGTAACTATCCTTGGACTCGGTAATTCCACTTCTAGAATTTTATCCTACACATATACTCATATATGTGTGAAATGATGCGAATATATATTGCAGCATTGCATGCAATTACAAAAGATTGGAAATAATTACCGACATTGGTTAAATAAATTATGATACTTCTGTTCAATAAAGCCCAATACAGTTATTATATTTACTGATAACAGTGTATCTTGGAGAGCAGTTCTTTAAGTGAAAAAAGGAAGCTAAAGCAAATGAACAAAGCAATGCATACAACATGCTCTTTTTTGTGTTAAAAAAATGGAAAAATGCATTTGTTTGTATACTAATATATTATGTTTATAGTACTATATTTCACTAGAAAGATATACTAGAAACTAAGAAAATGATATTAGTTGTCTTAGAGCAGGAGACTTGGGTGGTTGGCCGACAGGGGCAAGGAGACTTTTCATTGTATAGTTTTTGTTCCTTTTGAATTTTGTTCTATTTGAATGTATTAACTTTTCAAAAATGTAAAATGAACGATATTTCTAAATTAATTCAATCAAAAAACTTATAATGGAACATTTGCAAGGACATTTTTCTTATAAAAAGATCTGGATAATAACTTTTAAAAACATCACAACCAAAATAATGAACACATGGAAATTCACAAAAGAAAATTATTTAAAAATAATTAAAATATGCAAGTTATATACACAAATATTCTAATTATCATTAAAATTATCCCAAGACTGAAAAAACTCATTTCGTGAAAGTCTTTATAAATTATAAAACAACAAAAAGAAATAAGAGAAAGAGAAAATCACTAATTCTATAAGAATAATTTCCAATGGAATCTTCTTAGGCATTCTGCTTCAATCAGAGTAGTTTCATTTTATCTGCTCAATATATGGAATTTCCTCACTGTTTTTTATTTAAAGGAAGGCTTTAAAATGAAAAGCAGATACCTGAAAGCGGGAAAACCACTACTATGGAACATCATTTAAAAAAACAGTCTTCTCTCCAGACTCACAGATTTCCAAGAATTACTGCTAGGCAAAGAGCTAATTAGAGCTAACTGTTACTTATTTTAAAAGTTTGTATAATGCTTACCTGAAAACTCGCCCATAATTCCCATGCACTTTATATACACCATAGAGTCTATCTGCTACTCTCTGAAATAAACATTTAACAGAAATTGCTATTAGGTCAAAATTATACACAGATTACTTTAAAAAATTTCCATCCCCATCAAAAAAACAAAGAAACAAGATAAACAAAACAACACAAAAATGCTTAGTACAATAAACTTGGAAAATACGTAAAAGAAAAAAATTAATCTCCAAAAACCCCATCCCTCCCAAAAAAAACAAAATTAGTACTCTTATCGTATTTCTTGTACCTTATGCTTCCATATGTCTTTTTATGCATAGTTTTTAATTACTGTTTTAAAATTTCCTATAGCAAGGGGATGTTTATCTAGCAGATTAAAATTACCTTTAATAAATACCGTTTAAAATAGTTGCACAAAATTCCACTGAGTAATGTATAAAATACACAAGCATTCCTTGTTGAATAACTTTATTGGATATTTAGTTACTCCTAATTTTTTAGTATTATAATGTAATAAGCATATCTAAAAGTAAGGCTTCTTCCTTCAGACTGATTCCTTACGTAAATTCCCCAAATCAGAATTTACAAAGGAAAGGAATACAAGCATTTTCAATTCTATTAATATATAGTTTTACATTTAAATGTTGCATATATGCAATATACTTCTATGCTACTTGTCAAGAGATAACTCTTTCTAACCAACATTTTAAATATTTAATAACAGAATTACCATTTAGATCACTGAGATGAAATGTGTACTGCCAAGCCATTCACACAAATTTTACAAAAGTTACAACAAAATACCACATATGGTAATTAATTTGCTTTACTTTCTCCCAAAGTGTTATGGATATGAACTGGAAGCTAACCCCACATAAAACCCTAAAAAAAATTTCTGGTACACAGTTTCTAAATGTAAGCTCTGAAGATAAATTACCTCCCTGATTCCTCAAACATGAGTAACTTGAGGAATTAGGCATTAACCCTACAATGAATCTTAACCCTTTCAAGACTTCAGCTTAAAGTGAAGGAATGATCTCTGTAAATACCTGCAACAGGTCTAAAGAGGATCATAAAATGTTTTCCAACATCTAAAATGTTGGCCTGCTCTGAGGGAACACACACCCACTAGACAAGGGGTCAGTACACTACAGGCCTGCTGCTTGTTTTTGTAAATAAAGTCTTACTGGAGCACTGTCACGCTCATTCATGTTAGTATTGTCTATCCGTCACAGCAGAGCTGAATAGATGTGACAGGGACCACAGAGGCAACAAAGCTGGAACATTTACTATCTAGCCTTCAGAAAAAGTTTGCTGGACCCTGCACTGGACTCAGCTTTCAGGACAAAGCTCATAGCCCTATTTCTGCTTGAAATTCTTCAGGGTTATCCCCAGACCTCTAAACTAATTTCTCTAGGATGTCATTTCTCAATTATTTTTTGAGCATTCTATAGAGTGTTAAATTTTAAGTGGTTCCATCATCAAGTTAGTTTGGAAAACACTGAGGTATTATAATAAAGTTTAATAGGCTTTTTTTCTGTAGACTTTTTGAGATGGGGGTCTTGCTATGTTGTTCAGCCTGGCCTCAGACTCCTAGGCTCAAGCAATCCTCCCGCCTCAGCCTCCTGAGTATCTGGGACTACAGGTACACATAACCATGCCCAGCTCTCTACAGGACTTTTTTGACCTTTTACACCGCATATGATTCATGAGTGTTCAAGGGAAAGATACAGTTTGCAGTAGGGAATATCTTACAGGGCTAGCATTCCAAAGAATATATGATAGAAAATATCGTTCTAGACCACTAACTTTTCTAGATCCCAGTACTTTTAGATATCAAACTTCCTTCCTATAATCATGGGAGAGAGAAAGAGAACTTGTTAAATAATCACTTAACAACAGAAACCAGAAGCAATGTGAGTACACAATGCAGATCTAACACATTCAAAGAAAAATTTTGTGAATCCCAGATGTTAAAAAGTTTGTTTCTTTAAAGTATATCACTCCTGGCAGCTGATAAGAAAGGGAAGAGCTTCTACCATAGCAATTAGAGCTCCGGAAAATATATTGGTCCACTGGGTATAACCAAAAGAAGCAAGGTCATCACACACCAAAGAGGTGAGCAACTGCATAGGTGTAGATACTCTACTCATGAAGTAGGCAACGAAGAGACACTCAGCAGTTACTACTGGACCAACAATGTTTCTGGTATGAACTCTTCACAGATGGAAATAAACTGTTCCAACCAACTTAAACTAAAACACGAAGTGAATGTATCTAGATTATCAGGCTGTGAGAAAGATGATGAAGCTAAGAAAAACTATAAATTATAAATAAAAAATTATCATTTCTAAAGAAAAGGAAAGGAAAAGATGTCAGAGAAATAAAGCATGAATGATTAAAACCTGAGACAAGACTGATTAATGGTTGTTGGTAATCAACAATATTGGTGCCAGGGAAAAGGGGCTATACCTAATGTTTAGTTCAGACTGCTAATCAATTTCATTTCCATTGACAAGTCTTTCTTTTTGAAAATTCATCATCAGACAATTGACAGGGGAGGATTGACACCTAGCAAATTCTATGAAAATAGAAGAACTGTGGTAGCCTCACCCAATTATCTCTCCCAGCTCCGAATCATATGGAACTAAGAATGCCTTTTCTATCCTCACTGAAGCAGTAGAAGATTAAATGCTGACAGGGACAGAGTTCTATGACATGCTATGAGATGATGTCATTTTAAAAATTTGGACACACACAACTTTTTTTTCTTAATTTTCCCAAGGAGTCAAAGATTATGAGATTCAAGACTCCTGATACTTTCTGCAAAATGGTTTCCAAAGGAGCTATATGTAATACTTTACACTGCCACCACCACTAAACATTTCGCAAACACTCGATACTATCATCTTGTAAAAGTGACCACATCTTTATCAAATGGTTTTCTAAAAAGAAAAGAAAAAAAGTAAAAACCAAAAGTGACTACAAATGAACTGCTAAATGTATCTCAAAGATCATAATTTGGGCC